ATTCAACGCATGACTACTTCAAGAGTAATTCTCCCACAGGAATAAAGTGGGATTTACATCACTTCAAGTTTTGCACATTAAGTGAGACTGTATTCTTTCCCACTTGCCTTTGTTCAGATTTGCATAATTCATATTAGCACAGAGTATGACTTTCTTCCCTCTTTTCTAAAGGAAGACTATGGATTTACACCTGGAGATCCAGGATGTACTTGGCAGTGTCGATCGGACAGAGAAGCGTAGGGTACATTTTCATAAAGCCAAGTGCATCTGCCCTCCCAGTAGGCTGATGGGAAAGGAACTGACCTACCGTGGGTTCTCCAGACCCGCAGGGCTCCAGCTCTGTCCTAATCAGTATACAAAAGACATTCTCAGATCTGTTAGGGAAAAGCAAATGCTTCAGCTGGCACAAAATCAGGACCCTTATACACCCACTTTAGTGTGAATCTCAGCCAGCCTTGAACCTGGACCAAATCTAAGGAGGTGGCATTTGAGAGAGATAAATAGAAAGTCCTGCACTTTGATCCCAAATGAGTATCTGGAAAAATATACCAACGACTGGGATTTGTCTTAGTTCATTGCAAGTTCAATCTGAATCAGTGGGGTGATGAGTCTTCTGACAATAAAATTCAGTCTTTGGTTACGTGAATAGAAATAGAAGATCTAGAATGGAGGAGGTGATAGTTCATCCTCCTCACACTCACCTGGAGTTCTGTTTTCAGCTCTCAACCTTGGTCACAAACTGGAACATGTCCAGAGAAGAAAAAAGGGGTAGCCAGACCTTGAAGTGCTTATTCTGGAAAAGACTAAGGGAGGAAGTTATTGTTTCCACATGTAGAGGTGGTTGCCATGTGCAGGAAGGCTTAGGTTTGCATTTTTGTGGGCTTCCAGGCTAGTCCAAGGACTTTCAGGTGAAAAGTTTTAGGCAGTGAGATTTTTGTTTCAATAGAAGGGCAGTTAGAGGGTCTGACGACAAAGGGGCCACCCGAGTTCAGCTGATGGGTCTGGTCATCTTGGCACCACTTAATGGCTAATCAGCAACGTTAGGCAAAAGAATCTATGTATCTGATTTCCTTTTTCCTCTTTTTTTTTTTTTTTAACCCTTGGAGAGTTGGCCACAGATGATTTAGAAAAGAGAAAATAAATGAGCCTAAACTTATGAAAAAATTTTAAAAAATTACTTTGCTAATAATTGGATGAAAATTCAAACGGTGATAATGTAGATTTTATCTGTTAGCAAAACTTAGGGAGAAAAAAATAAATTCCAGTACTGGGGAGGGTGCAGTGCAATTGGTGTTTTCATTCGCTGCTATTAGCTCTGACGCCTTTTGGAAAGCCTGTACATTGCAAATAGCTCTGTCCCAAGAGTCCAACAGGCCGGCTAACAAAAGAGTTGAAAATATGCAAATAGCCACATGCCTGAAGATATTCATTGTGGTATTACTCTAAGCAATTTAAACAACGACTAGGGGAGCACCTGGGTGCCTCAGCAGTTGAATGTCTGCCTTTGGCTCAGGTAGTGATCCCGGGGTCCTGGGATGGAGTCCCGCTTCGGGCTCCCCGCTGGGATCCTGCTTCTCCCTCTGCGTATGTCCCTGCCTCTCTCTGTGGGTCTCTCATGAATAAATAAATAATCTTTTGTTTAAAAAAAAACAATGAAAAGGTAACCGATGAAGATGACAGGTATTGGCTCAATAGAATGTTACGTATCATTTAAGAAGTCATTTTCACTGTGGCCATAGGGAAAACACAGAGGACATGACATGTGTGCACCTGTGGGGAATCGCCACCTACAAAATTCCACAGATATGATGACTGTAATTGCATACTAGACAGATGGAGATGACAAAAGATAAGAAGGGTAATTTCTTCTTTTGAAGGCCAGATATGCCACTAGTTCGCGGTGTCATCTTGGGCAAATCCCTCCCTTTTTTCTGTGCCTCAACAGCCCAGTCCATAAACCAGAGGGTTTGGACTCAATGGTGTCTAACGCCCTTTCCAGCTTTACGATGGGAAGAGAGTGGCTCTATTTCATGAAGAAACTGTATTCCCGAGGGATTAAGGAATCAGCCACTGTCTTGCTTTCCGACTTCCCCCATCGGACTCCACTGCTTCTACATTATATATTTTTAGGGATCAGTTTTGAGATGAATAGCAGATGAGAAAAAATAGAATTCCTTGATCTTTCTCAAATAAACTGCAGCATTTTGAAGGAAATTTAGCCGTGAGCTCCCTGAGTGCTTCAGTGTGAAGTAGCGTAACACAGCTCTCAAGTCGTTAGGACACTTTATTCAAAAATGCCCAAGAATGATTTCAAATTGAGATGTTGCTGCTGTGAAATTACTGAAATGAACCATCCTGGGAAGGTTTATTCACACGGAACAAAGGGAAGGGGTGGACATTTAATATTCACTTATATTTGAGTCATATATAAGTGAATATATAGTTGTCTTGCCCCAGTTCCTTGGTTTTGTAACCCAATCAATGGAAAAATGGTCAAAACCTACTATGTCTGTACATAATGCAGGGCCTTTTAATTTGTAGGGGTCTGAGGCGCAGGGTGACAGACATGGACCTCCCACACCTAAAAGCCTCCTCAGCATGCCCAGGCTCCCTCTGAAATTGCCCTCATCTGTTCAAAACTTTCTGGAAGGGTGGTGACTGCTTAGTTGGGACACTTCCTTTTCATCCGCAGAGCAGACAAGAGGAGAAACACCACTGACACAGCATCAACACACAAAAGGGTCTTCTGGGGTCCCTGCAGTCCCCGGGGAGAATGTCCCTGCTCTCAGGGGTCATGCAACTTTGCCAAACACTGTTGCCTGACTTTTTTGGAAAAGAACCCATTTTCAATCCTTCGGGAAGAATTTTTAACATGCAGGGAGAGCCCACAGCTCGATTACCTAAAAATCAGAGGAGTATTACTTAGATATGCAAATAAGGCATCTCTCTAGCAACTAACTACACCTTCAAGGAAGAGTCCAGAATCTCTTAGTTTGGTTCAAAGAACCCTTAGACATACAGCTCCCCAACCAAGTGCACAGTGCAGCACGGCAAACGTGGCTATTAGAACCAGGGCAGAAAGGAAAGAAAGTCACGGGACACGAGAGAGTTTTATTAGTACCTTGATTTCCTCCCTCTCTTCATTTATACCAAGCTGCTTTATAAGAAGATAAAGACGCTGATCATCCTTTGTTGACCTCTTTTTGGGGAAGGAACTGGGAGTGTGAATTGAAGAGGGAGGTTGGGGTGGCCGGGCACCGACTTGAGGGCAGAGAACCCAGGTGGGGAGGCGAGGCATGCGTATCCACGGGAAGGAAGTGAGCACACACAGAAGCAGCGGAGGGACGCATCTCAGTGCTGTCCTTTCAAATCAGTCACCTGGCAATACCCTGCGCTGGGTCCAGTAAGATTGCTCCCTCTTAACAACCTCGGGAAGCTCTATTCCAGAAGGACTGGCCCCAAGCTCTTTTGGGCACCGTTTAAACCTGCATATCTGCCTTCCACGCACACTCAGGACTCCTCTGCCACTAGCCTGCAAGTCCCTTCTGGTCACCCAGCAGTCACCAGGACAGCAAATAAATGCTCCTTGAATTAAAAACAAGAGGGGCCTCATGAGGGTAGCATATGAGACATTGACAAAAATAATATGCAATACCTAATACCCCGAACTTGACTTTGGTGGCAGTTTTTTTCCTCCTGTCATATTATTTCCATTCTTCGCTACTGGTCTCCTTTCTCACTTAAACCATATTGTAGCCCAGAGACCTTGCATTTTGGTCTTCCCTGTAGGTCACCACTGATGACCAGGGTTTCCTCCTCTTCTGTGGGATGGTCGAAATCCCCTGGAGGGCAGAGCAGAATTTTGGAGGTGTTATCATCTGGGCAGAGATCCCTCAGTCTGGGTGACTCTTTCCTAGCCACTTTGAGGCTGACTTAATGAAAAACGTTTAATATGAGCTTCTTACCGGGGCCACCCGGCCGTTACACTTGACCTCATGTACACTCAGCTTGGTCAACTACCTGATTCATAGATTCCACCCAAGTGACTCTTCTACTTTTCCTCCCAACCAGTTCTCCTCAAATACCGAAGGTCTGTCTTCCAGGAGGAGACACCACAGCTTCATGGGTGGTTTTCAGCAGTGGGAATGGAAATGGCAGCAAGGCTGGCCCACATGGGGGTTCCTGGGTGACCACTTTGGGAAGTCTTGTCGGGAGGGGCCTCTCTGGGACGGATGCGCCCCCTGACCTTGCAGTAACACCTTGACCACAGGAATTATGGCATGAGAACCTGTAAGACACCAGTGAATGTGGGGGCCCAGCAGGACAGTGCACAGGCCAGCTCCCCCGAGGTTACCACTGCCGCTGGAACCCACAGATGTACACGGTGCACTGAAACAAAACCATCACCAGATAGAACACCCTTTCTGCTCCTCCAGCATGGTGACAGGCCTGTGATCTACGAACCGTCTGAGCGCTTCCTTCTGCCATCCAGCTCCTTGTTGGCTCTTGGGGTGTGTTGCAGGTGTCATGGATTGGTGACATTAAATCCTAGAAGGAAGTCTAAGGATTCCAAGTTACCACAAGAAACCCTCAGCACCTAGCGTAGGCTGGCAGGCCCCAGCCCCAAAGTAGAATTTTAGTTTATTGTTTGACAGCTTCCGAGTGAAAGGCAGAGTCTGTCTTAACCACAAGCTCTAGGTTCTGTGGTGGGAGGCTTGCTGTCATTCCCAACCACTGGAGTCCTGAGACCCATAAGCGAGCCCAGCCTTCAGCTGGGAGTTTGCGTATTAGCAAAAGGTGTGTGATTTTTTGTTTTGTTTTTAACCCGGGAAGCATGCATGATGGGTAGGTAGAGTCAAAGTGTGGCTGGGACCCTAAAATCAAACTGTAAAAAACAGGACACACACCCTAGTGCAGGTAAGAAATATAAATGATTTTACTCCTCAGCACTTGCACATGGAGACGCGGCGCACACAATACTACGTGGCATTGTTCTTCGATTGATGCAACTCAGTAATTTTTATTGCAACTGGAAGACAATACATCACAGAAACTTTATGGTAGGTCTGGGGGAAAAGTGTTATTTACAATAAATGATGAAATAGTTTGTCTTTGGCAATATGATTACATATGAAGAATGCGAAATGCAGGTATGGATGCCTCCAAAGCAACACCATCAGGTCCCTAAAGTTCGGCTGATCGTGCCTGCCTCCACACTGCTCCTCTAGGTAACACAAACGCAACTGAACGTCACTTTCTTTCTCCTTTACGGTTCTCCCTTTCTGTTCATGATATTGGCAGTTTCATACAGAAAATACAGAGGAAAAAAAATTGGCTCTCGAAAAATTATTACTCTAGTAAAATTATAATTTGGCCATGTGGGTCTATTGGCCAGCAAAGGTCAGACGACCCTAAGCATCGATAGTAAACCTCTTAAGTCTTCTGATTGCTTTATCACTGTTTTTTTTTCTCTGTAAAACAAAAATGAAACTCAGAAATGGTACAGAATCAGAGTATAAAAAAATGTACAAGTGTATAATGCTTCCCAGACACACCCGGATAACTCCCCCCCACCCACATTTTTCACCACGGCAGTAGAAGTAGTGAGTGTGAATAACACGGCATGGAACTGGTTACTGAATCAGCTCTGAGCTTCAATGGCCTCAACATACATACTCAGGAAATGCTTCATGTTTAAATAACTGAAATTGTGCTAAGGTTCACCTAAAAAAAGGGGGGAGGGGGTGGGGGCTGGGGAACTCAGGCCACAGTCATGGAAGGATGAAATACAATTTGTAGGTTTGATAGGCTCACCATATCGAAGTCTATGCGATTCCAATATGGAGTATCAGTTATTTGCAAAAGGTGGGGAAGGCTGTTCTCAACTTTTGCAAATGAAATACAGTGGAAAAAACACTGCTGAATAGATTCCAAATAAATAGTCTTGATTTCAATGCTAACAAAACGGACAAGGAAGGGTACTTGTGAGCACATCACAGTAAAGTCAGAAGTGGTCTTTCACCTAGGTCTGATTTCGAAAGAAGGACAGACAGCAAAATGCAGCACCATAGACACATCGGTTTCGGCCGTTACGAGATGGATCGTTTTGAAAAAAAAAAAAATCGTTATTTTCCTTCCTTAATTTTTGGTCAGTGAAGCTAGCACTTGTTTGCTGAACTGTGGAAGAATTTCAAGGTCACACGCATTATTCATGATAAAGCAACCGAGCTGACGAGTCTGTGCTTAATTCAAGAATAACCAGTAGGAGAGAGAGAAAAACAAGGAGTTAACCACCTCTGGCGCTCTCTCCAAGGAAGAGGGGTTAACAGATGAATTCACAAAGGTAGGCGGGTCTATACAGAACACTGGATGCCATGTGTAAATCCTCATGAAACTCCAGAAACAGGAACACCACACAATGTATATAGTTTGATTTACACATTCCGTTACAAAGAGGAAAAAAAAAAAGTAAAAGAAGACACCATTACAACTTGGTAACTGTGTTAACTGCAATATAAACCAAAGTCCCGAGTTTGGCAGGTAACTAAAAGAGGGTTATCACTTAGGTTATATAGCAAAAGTGTTGATGTATATTATATATAGTAGTATAAATAATAAAAAAGTATTATTTAAATTAGATCACAGTGCTGCATTATGTGCATAACAGTGTTTGATATAGTATTGGAGGGCTGGGACCTACGACACCAAGGATTTAACTGTCAACACTGGTTAAGTCACAATCAAGAGGGGACACAGAGTTCAAATGTGTTCTTTTGGTGGCAAGAATCCTGAAGATGAAAAGAAAAAAAAAAACCAAAAAAAAAAAAAAACCAAAACAAAAAAACAAAACAAAAAACAAACTTCTCTACAGAAACATAAAAAATCAATTGCAACATCTGGGCAGCTGTGATCCACCAGAAAGAAACGAGTCCCAACCTGAATCAAGTTTAGAGGGAAAAGAGAAGTCACATTGAATTGAACCCCATCCCATATGCAAACCCCTCCCATGTAGGTCACTTGTACAGAACTCTGATTCCTTCTCCAAAAGCCCTTCGGTGAGAGGCTAAGAGCCCACACGCGTGGCGTGGGGATAACCGGAGGGCGAGTCGCTAGCCCTCGGTGCCGGGCCGTCCCGGGGCTGAGCTGGGCCACGGGAGCCATCTGGCCGGTGTCCACTCTGCAGAGCCTGCAGCCTGCAGTTGTCCCTGGGGCAGCTTCTGGAAGGCCCTGTGGGATAGCTCCTGTTGCACCTGGCAGGGGCTGGATGCGCCGACTTGCCTCCACGGGAAATGTCGGCTCTTGGGGGAAAAGCCTGGGACGCATCCCTTCTTTTAAAGACTCGGCCCCGGGACCGAAACTGCCACAGTCGTCTGGGCCATCTCAAACCACCACCCAAACGTGGGTTCCAAATAGACAGCTTTGTTTACCAAAGAACTCTTTAAAGTGTACTGATCAGAGAGGGAAGGGAAGTAGGAGCTTATGGTATATAATAAGGCTGGGAAAAATCTATGATGCAGACAGACCCTTTCCACGTAGCACTAGATAAAGGACGATTAGAGTAGCATAAAAATAACTGTCTATGTGTAGAGCATTTAAGAAAAAAGAGCTACAGTCTCTTCCTCTTAAATGGGTCCGAGGGCCAACAGCAAGTAACTGTAGATGTCGTGGTGCTGATGTGTTCATGCTTGTTTTCCAAAGCATCTTTAAATATTGCTATAGTTCCCCGTCTCCCCCCGCCCCCCCGCCCCGTGTGAGTACGTGAGATACTGGAATGACACATGAAAACGCCACTTCTCCCAGCAGGAGAAATGAAAGCAAAAACACCACACCCCTTGAACGGTGCTCAGGCGACCTGTCAGACTCATGAGTACATAGGCTAAGTTTGGAAGCTAGAAGAACACCTGACGTTTGGGAAGTAATTCCAAGACTAAAGTGAATTACATTTGAGCAAAATATTCTTTTCACAAATAGGCTTGTGCTTAAATCCTCTACTGCTCTTGGAGGAGGGGAGTGAGAGAGGGTGCCTCCTGCCCCTTGGCTTGGCAAGGACGCGGGCAACCTCCTTCTGCGATGAATTTAACTACAAACGGCCACATACACATTGATACTTGTTTTTTGTTGTTGTTGTTGTTGTTTTTTTCTCAACGATCAAAATACAAAGTTAAACACAATTGAGCCATTGTTTTGGTTATGCATAATGTGTATGCCTCCAAAAACAGAAGAAAAATAGAAAAAAGTACCCTCACTAAAGTTTCCCCTAGAAGTCCCCCTGGTGGCGCCCACACGGGTGCCGAGGGAGACTCAGGAAATAACACTTAGAAAGCTGCCCGATGAGGTATTTATGCAAAAAGAGTGGTTCTGGAGTTAAGAACACACTTTTATATTTATCTATTTCTCAAAGAGATCAGAAAAGTAAATCACACACATTGCATTTTATTGTTTTCTAAAAGAGGCCTTTGCTCCTTTAGAAAAATGAAATGAGGGGAGACAGCCCACTGTGGGGGGGTTTGGATTGGAAGAAGTCCCCGCCAGAAAGTCCTGGATGTCGCCTCTGCCTTTCAGGAGGGAAGTCTGACCTTCACCCTGGGGGGTGGGGTGGGGGAGCCAAAAGGGGTGTCTTCCGAGCTTGGTCAGGTGACAACCCATCAGAGTGCTGCTTGAGCTCTGCAGCAGACACAGCTCTTGGGGTGTCAGACACTTCGGGGAGATGGAGGGAGCACTTGAATAGTACATCCTCTTCGCATCTACACCCGGAACTAATATGCTGGAAGCGTTCAGGTTCAGGTACTGAACTTGACCCTGTCCTGTGGTGTAGACTTTTTTTTCCCCAGGTTCTCTCATCAGCAACCCAGAGGAAGCAAAGCACAGGGTACGCGTCAGCTCCCTCCCTCCATCCTGGCCACTGGACTCGTGATGGCCCGTGGCAGGCCACTGGCCCGTCTTTCAGGATCACTGTGTCCCCCCCGCCCCGGTCCCCCACTCTCCCTCACCCAACACATCGAGTCCCGGGAGTGGGTGTTCCTGTTGGGGTTTTAAAATTCCCCTCCACGTGGGTGGGAGATCCTATTCTTTCAGACACTTCTCTCTGGATCTCCCAAGACAATTCCTTTCAGGCAAAGATAACTGGAGTTTCTGGTCTGCGTGACATCGTCCGGTCTAAATTCAGCTCTCCTAATCTAGGTGGGCTTAGTTCCAGGTCGGGTCGTGTGCTCAGGTGGAAGAGGTGGCTGGCCCCTCCGTCCCACTGGGAGGTGGATTCAGAGGAAACCCATCTGGGGCTGGTCCTTCCAACCCCCGAGTCGCTCCCTCCTTCGCGGGTACCCTAACTCACACCCTCATGCAATAAGGCCCATTAGCGTGCTTCCCCTTCTCCTGGCGAATTTGCATAATGATTCACTGCCTTTTTTCCTAGAACCAAATCACATCATGGTCTCCTCAAGTCAGCATCCCAGAATTCTCTTGATTCTATCATACACACTCACTACTAAGTTTGCCCTCGAATTATTGCGTCATGGTAAACATGTACAAAGAGAAAAGACACACTTTTCAACAGAGAATCGGGGGGGTCGGGGGCTGAAGTTCAGACAAGGCAGTACAGAGCTCCACCATCCAGGCCCTACCAGAACATGAAGATATTTTATATTGCAGAGTAAGATTCCCCAACAGTCAGAATTTGTCCCTGAAGAAGGTTAAACCTTAAACACCTGCTTCAAAAAACCAAAACAAAATCATTGGGAAGAAGAAGAAAGAAAAAGAAAGAAAGAAAGAAAAAAAAACAAAAACAAAAAACAACAGAAAAAAAATCAAAGAAAAAAAAAGAGAAAACCAAAAGAAACTCTAAGCCTAAGGGCTTAAAAATTAGAGGCATAGCCTTTTTTCTATTTTCTATATTTATATGAAAATAATTCATGCTTCATGCTAAATACATTATTTACCTTACAAGAACTTTGTTATTTTTTGAATAAAAAAAAGTTTTGTGTTTTGTGATTTTTTTTCTTTTTTTTTTCTTTTTTTCTTTTTTTTTCAAAGGAATCCATGCATTGTGGATCAGAAATTTCTGCTGGCTACACTGGCTGAATGTGGAAATCACTGATTTTGCAAAGAAGAATCCTGACTGACATTAATTGCAAACTCCATTTTGAGGGCAGTATAGGAGTTTTTTTGTTTTTTGTTTGTTTTGCCATGTTTTTTTGTTTGTCCATCAATGTGCCTTTCATCTTTTAAAAATACACCACAATACTAATGGCAGGTTCTGTAGCTTTTTTTGTTTTCACTCAGATCAAATAGTTTTGACAGGCAGAAAAAAGAATCTGTACCATTATTTTCTTCCTTAACAGCTATTGTAATTTCCTGGACTTGATTTTCACTTGGGCAGTTAAGAAGACAGAGCTTGTTTTCTGCGTCAGTTCTCTCTCTCTCTCTCTCTCAATCTCTCTTGCTCTCTGTGTGCGCGTGCACAGGGCCAACCTTCAGGCTTATGGCTTGTGAAACATTCTCTTAATTTAATACAGGACAAAATTCAGTGATTAGCAATGTCACTAAAAACTGACCCAGTTTCTTCTCATTAGTCGCGGACACCTGGTGTAAAACGAGTGGCCCAGAGTCCACCTCCTAAGATGATACCAGGCCGCACAGCTCAGAAGCACAAAGGACTGGAGACCGCTCCCCACTCCGTCCACCCACCCCTGCACGATTCATGGCAACGAAACCCACGGCAATGCCAAGGGTTTTCCTGGCACAGCTGGACACCCGGGGTTAAGAGCCTGGGTCAGCTCCCCAGGGACCAGGGCTCATCCTTCTCCCCAGTCGCCTCGCACTGCGACCCCAATGGGCGGGACAACCTGACCATGTTTAGACCTAAGGGTTGGGCCTGATTGATGATTACTCTGCACGCGTGCCTTCTAGGTGCCGAGTCGGTGTTCCCGTGGCATCATCGTTGGCATCCCTGCGGATTCAGCCACGTGTTTCTGACAAAGCTGGAGGAAGCAATGGTAATTTTGGCTTTTTTCGGTTTTGTCTTCAGATAATGAAAAGCTTTTGTAAAACAGCTGAGTGTCAATATGAGTTCTATGGCTTCAATCTCCTTTAAAAATAAAATTCTTAAGGGTCCAAAACAAAGGAGGGGCAAATTAAAAAAAAAAAAAGAAAGAAAGAAAGAAAAGAAAACCAAACCAAAAGGAAAAAAAAAAAGAAAGAAAAAAAATTGCTGATATTGCCACAAATCATTAGAAATCTCCTGACATGCTAAAACCAAATGGCCGAAAGTTCAAAACAAATCAGTGACTTGTTTTTAATTTTTTGTGGTTTCCTTTTGCTCTTTCTGCCCCTTTGCCGTCCGATTGGTGATGTTATTCAAACAGGACCGAATCCCTGCCAAGTGCAGGAGCGAGCCCGCCGCCTCCTTCATCTCCTCGTCGTCGCTCTCGGGGGGCTTCTCCGTGCGTCTCTTTTTGAGGGGCAGCGTGTCGCTGGGGACCTTGCGGGCCTTGGCGAGATGCTGGCGCTTCTTGTGCTGGGCCGCGTAGCCGCTGTCCCCCAGGGCATCCTTGGCCTCCTTCGGGCTGTGTTTGCGCTCGTCGTCCTCCGGCTCGCTGTGGCTCTCGTGGCTCTGGAAGCTGCCCTCGCTGCCCTCGCTGCCCTCCTGGCTCCCCTTGGCGGCGAACTCGTAGTGGTCGTCGGCCGACGAGGAGGACACCGAGTCGCTGGCCGGCGACGTGCTCCTGGCGTTGGAGGACTTGGCGCTGCTGTAGTTGTGATCCTCCTTGGGGTCTCCGCTGACCACCGGGGAGCCGCACGACGGCTCGTTCTCAGTCCGCACCCGGCAGCCGCCCAGGCCGTTCCTGCGGACGGGGCAGCGGGAAGGGACACGGAGGGGACACAGGTTAGCGCCCGTGTTCACACCTAGGGCCCTGCTCCCAGCAGTCTGCTGCTCTGCCAGCCGGGGTGGGGGGTGGGGGCTACACCCACTGTCAGGCCCGGCTCTGCAGACAGCGTCCTGAGGCCTGACCCCCACCCCATCCCCGTCCCTCCACCCCCCAGGTAGGCCTGGCTGTGCAGACAGCATCACAGCATCCCAAAGCCTGACCCCCACCCCAACCCTCCACCCCCCCAGGCAGGCCTGGCTGTGTAGACAGCATCACAGCATCCCAAAGCCTGACCCCTGACCCCGTCCTCACCCCCCACCCCCAGCAGGCCCAACTCTGTGGACAGTGACCTGAAACCTGACCCCCGACCCCGTCCTCACCCACCACCTCTGGCAGGCTCAGCTCTGTGGACAGTGACCTATAACCTGACCCCTGACCCCGTCCTCACCCACACCTCCCCAGCAGGTCTGGCTCTGCAGACAGGGTCCCGAAGCCTGATCCCCTCCCTGTCCCTCCACCCCCATCCCAAAGCCTGACCCCCGACCCCATCTTCCCCACCACCCCGGCAGACCTGGCTCTACAGACATCACAGCATCTTGAAGCCTGACCTCCCACCCGACAGGCTCCTCCTCCAGCACCCACATTTTCTCTCCTCTTGTGCATAGATGGCAAAACCACACTCTTCTGAGGTGGCAGCGGTGGGAGCGCCATCTCTTACATTAAACTGGAAAGATTCAGCTGTGCTTGGTTTTGCACACCTGCCGACACCCGGCTGGGCCCGTTCTCTTCCAGAGGCCCCCCCACCCCAGTTCGTTCTGCCAAGATTCACCAAACCCCTCACATCAACGCATGGCTTGAGGGAGGGTCCTGAGGAGGCGGCCTAGGTGGGACCAAATACAGACACGGTCACAAAGATGCTGACAGTGGAACAGAGAAGTAGTCGTGGTTATGTCACAGGTGGGAGAGCAGTAAGCTACGGCACTTCCACCCCCTGCCGGGCACCCTCTGCATAGGTGGGTGCACGCAGCTCTGGAAAGCCAACCTGAACATCCTTATTTTACAGATGCTGGAAGAAGGGTCTAGAAAGCCACACAGCTGGTGTACAGCCGAGTTGGGATTGAGACCAAAGTTTGGTTCTCGAGATGGCCTCTTAGGACAATCTGACCGACTCTCGCTGTTTTTCTGATTTCCCTAGAACTAGCTCCCTTCCATATGCTCCCATCAGGACTCACGGTCTCACGGCATTACATCTGAGTTATGAACTGAATTCCCTTGTGGTTCCATACTGGCAAAGGGGAGGGTGACTGCACCCACTTGGCTGTGGGGCTGAGGGCAGGAGGGAAGGCCCGTCCATGTGGACCAGTGCCCGGCCTGAGGGAAAGGACTGTGATGTCCTTTCCTGCTTAGGCCACTCGGTCCCAGGGGCGGGCCCTGATTCTCCCTGGATGGCAGCTGTATTTCTGATAGAGCATAGGACACAGTGGGTGTTCAGAAGAGGCGGTGGTCAGGGATGAATACGCACAGGACTCAGGATCACTTCGAGCTGGAGGGAACAGATGGAGGGCGAGGAAAGGTCTGTGAAAGACCTGGCGTCTGACCTTGGACAGGAGGGCTGACGGTTGTGGGCAGGGAGGAGAGGTGTGCTCCTGCCTCATGCCCGCCCTGTGTCCTGTAAGCCCATCCACCCAATGACGTGCTTCTAGGAGATCTGGGGAACATGAGCACACATTTCCTTCCTTCCTACACACCCCCAACTGTACACACTCCTACTACGTTCCCTCCACAGAGAGCACTTCCCACCGTCTGTGCGAGCTGCGTGATGCCCGTGTGCTTCCTGTGAAGAGTGTTAGCTCCACAAGATGGGGCCCGGTCATGATACGTCCCCCAGTGGCTAGCATGTGCCGGGCCCAGAGTGGACACACAACATACACTGAGCAAGTGCTGGAGCAGATGCAATTGTGTAGCAGAGAGCACGAAGTCTGGGGAGATACTGTGGGTCTCCCCTAACACACCTTACTGGATACCCCCGAAACGTATGGCACCTGGCAGGCCTTTGGGGTTGTGCCCAACGAGAAAATTCAGTCACAAGCTGTTACCCTCTCTTTCTTGCCATCCCTGTGGGCTGTGAGGCTCCACAAGACCCTGGCTGCAGCCCAGAGAGAAAGTAGAAGGGGAGGAGAGTCCTTGGTGTAAATGGAGTAGCAGGGAGTGAAGCCAAGGAGTCTCCCCTCTTCTGGTTCCAGGGCCCACAGTGCTCTGCTAAAGAGAAGCTGGTGGTGAGAAGCCCCACTGTAATATGCACCAGCAAAATGCTTGAGGGCCATCAGGGTCAACCTCAGCAAAGACAAGGCCACAGTGACGATTTGTGCACACCATGAAGTCCTAGCAGTCTCCAGAAGGGCCCCCAGATTGTGTCCTGTGCTCTGTGACCCCAGATTCATACCACCTCTGCCCAGTCCTTCTAGGAACAGCTGGCTTTCAAGGCAGACAGGCTTCTGTTCACATCCCAGCACTGCTAACTAGCGACCTGCAGCAGGCTCGTCTCCCTCACAGGGTGGGGTGATGGTGAAATGAGTTTCTGAGTGGAGAGGATGGTTCTTAGTGGTACTTGAGACTTCTGCCTTGGTTTCCCCGTTGCCGTCAGACGGCTCACTGCTGTTTCCTGCTGCTGGGACATGCTTACCTGAGCACTCCTGTTTTCTTTCTATTCTGGGCCAGGAGACTTATGGGGACAGGGTATAAAGTTGGAGGAAAGAGGACCCGATAGAGGAATTCCTGATGGGCCTGCCTGCAAACACAGCCCCTGAGCTTTGGGGAATGGCCCCTGCGATATCTATTTTCTGCAGGCTTCCTGTTTCTTGGCTCTGTCTTGGGTGCATAAAAGTGGCTAGGAAAAGATTGCTTTGAGGTGTTTCCAAATATGAAACTCGATAAATGTAACTAATTGCCCAGGTAGCTATTAATAGTTATTAAACAAATGAAATTGAAAGTCTCGGATAATGGTTCTCTTGATCTTTGTTGTTTCAGGTAACAGCTGTAAAATCCAAAATAATTGGTCTACTGAACTGGCATAAAACAGTCTCAGAGTGAAGCCAGCGACACTTGGATGAGAAACTGGGCTATGGCGGGCTTTGAGAAAATCAATTTAGTTCTGAAACCTTATTTTTTAACAACATGGAGCTAATAATTCACTTCACTACCACAGTTAAGGAGAACAGGATACACAGAGAAAGAGCGAGGGGGAGAGAATCATGGGAGCAAGAGTATGAAAGAAGGCAAGTACTGCCAAAGACTAATTCTTAGTGAATCTAGGTGAAAGGCAGCTGCTGTTCATTTTGCTTTTCTTCTTTTCCACAAGAAACTTTTTTAAAAATAAAAAGTCTGGAGTGGGAGGTGGGAGATAGATCTCAGAATGACAGCGATGACCAAACATTCGAGCTCCAGACTATTACAGGAGGAAAGGTTCTGGACCTGAGACTTTCTCTTTCTTAAAGGAGATAAACAAGCATGAGAGAAGTCCTAAAGACACGCTATGATCACATGGAGAATAGAAGAGGACGTCACTTCTGTAGCCCATGAGTTTAATGTTCTGTATGGCAAGGTCTCTGGTACCGCCCAGAACCATGCTGCATGCCAAGTGATTCCATAATCCACACGCTGGAACACTGGCCAAATTCAACCAATCATTTTACAGATTAAATGAACAGAAACTACCTAAGTCCTGTTGATTTGTCCAAGGTGCCCCAGCTAGTTCTCAAAGACAGCTCAAGCAGGAATTTGAAGTATCTTTCTGTCTCTCTCGGGTAGGGAAGTTGTGATGAACACAGGAAACCGAATATACCTGTTGATCACATTTCTGGATAAAAACAGGTATGCAGACGTTAAGTTCCAGGAGTAGGAATTAAAATATAAACGTATTTCTCTGAGTTGATAAAATTAACTTTCCCTGAGATGGTAGCAATGGGCGTGTAATCCATAAATTATACACAAACCCAGCAGGGAGTGACAAGCTCCTTCAATTATGAATAACTTGATGTGATGTTGTCCGTGGCGGAACAAGCCAGCTGCATGGACTTGGTGTCGAACACCTCCTGCTGCCAGGGGTTGTCATTACAGGATGCCACATACGGAAAAGAAGGAACCAGTCATCCTGAACATGTTGGACGGTAAATATCCAACTGCTTCTTCAAAATCATTCATTGAAATGAGCATGAGATACATTAGAGACGTCTGCCATTTTACAGATATAACTGAACTTCTATGTAACACCACTCATGATGATCATGTTAGCATAGCCTCGACAAAAGCACGTGTTACTAATCTCAAAAACCTGGTATTCGTTCTCTTGTCAAATTGATGGGAAATATCAAACATAAAAGGTGAGAAATCATATTAGCTCAGACCAGGAATGAGCAATGCTTGCAACTAACAAGTCAATGAGATATGGCCATTTTGTGGTCTTCTCTCTTGGTTCATTATCACCTCTACCTTGCCCCTGGGCACAAGAGTTTTCTCTGGAACCGAGAGTTTTAAATCTAGAGACTACCATTTAGGGTGAAGTTGTCCTCTCAGGGGATTGACTTGAGAACTCTGGATTTTGGTGAAGCATGCAATTAATGGGATTGTGAACCAGTTGTGGAGCTGGAGCTAGTGCAGCGGTTTGTCTAAAACCAAACACAGGTAGAAAGACACGAAGAGAAGAGATGGCTTGGGGCTTCCATTTCCAGCCAGGAGGCAGCGAAGACATCTGGAAGACACTCTTCTGACTACTACACAAAAGATCCTGGACAAGGTACAACAACACAGTTTTAAGTCATTGCTAGTTTCACTGGAAAATAAGGGGAATCTCAGAAACCCATGCAAACACACATGTACCAAAAGAATGTCACATAATACAAAGTTAAAAAAATAAAGGGACAAACTCTGAAATGGTAGTAGGCAACCTAGAAAGCCAGGGCTTCCCCAGAGCAAACATC